GGAACAATATCATTGGTATGGCACACAGGTAAAATTTTGTTGAATATCATCCAACAACAGATACAGCAGTACCTTAACAAGGAACTGCCAGAAGTTCATTCCAGAGTCAGAAACAGATGTGGAACAATGGATATCAACGCTAATGTCATATGGATCTTGCCTGAAAGCAGAGAATACCAGAAAGACGTTTACTTGTATTTTACTGACTATGTAAAGGAAACTGATTATATGGACCATAATAAACTCTGGAAAACCTAGAAAAGAATGGGAATTCTAGAACACTTGATTGTGCTCATTTAGAACTTGTACACGGATCAAGAGGCGATTGAGTACCTAAAGCAATCTACAAAGTCAATGCAATACTGAACCAAATACCAGCATCATTAATGGAAAATTACTAACTTCATATGGAAAGGGAAGAAACCCAGGGTAGGCAAAGAATCCCTCAAGAAGAAGAAAAATGTAGGTGGTCTTGTACTACCTGACCTCCAAACTTACTATACAGCCACAGTTGTCATAACACCCTGGTACTGGTATAGTGATAGACACTCAGACCAATGGGTCAGGACAAAAAACCCAGAAATAAAAGCATCCACATACAGACAATTGCTTTTTGACAAAGGACCAAACACATAAAATGGGAAGCAGATACCCTCTTTAATAAATGGTGTTGGAAAAGCTGGATATACATGCACAGAAGAATGAAACTAAACCTATTCACAAAAACAAACTCAAGGTTGATCAAAGACCGAAATATAAAACCCAAAGCCATCAGAATCATCAGTGAGAAAATTGGGACAAAGCTAGGAGCCTTAGTGCAGGGAATACATGGGCTAGCAGAATTAACAAAGAAAACATAGTCCACAGAAGATAAAATAGATGAATGGGACCTATTGAAAACAAAACACTTGTGTACATTAAAATACTTTATTAAAAGAGTGCCCCACACACTGGGAAAATATATTTAGTAAGAACATAACAGACAGAGGACTAATTATTAAGATCTTTATTTATATATCAGAATTTTACAACTGTACAGCAAGAAAAAACTAATAACCCTCTGAGAAGGTGAGCAAAAGATCTGAACAGAAGATTCATAATGGATGACACTCAAATAGCTAATAAACACAGGAGGAAATGTTCCAGGTAATTATCCATCTGGGAAATGCAAAGAAAAACAACAATGAGATATCATCTGACATCCATTATTGGAACCCAATTAAAAAAACAAAACAAAACCACAACAACAGCAAGTAGAGACAACAAATGTTGGAGAGTATGCAATGGGATAAGAACACTTATCCACTGCTGGTAGACTTGTGAATATATACAGCACTCTGGAAGGTGATATGGTCATACCTAAAATAGGTGGAAATTGAACTACCATATGACCCAGCGATATGATTACTGGGCATGTACCCCAAAGAAATAAGAAATAAATCACAAACATTTGCTCCTTCGTGTTCATCACAGCACAGCTCATAGTAGTAAGAAGCTGGAAACAGCCTAAATTCCCATCTAAAGAAGAGTGGATTGAAAAAACAAAAAACAAACCTCTGGTACATTCACATAATGGAATACTATGCATCCCCCCAAAACAGCGATGAGACCATGAAACACCTCAACTCATGGAGGGCTCTGGAAGACATTATGCTGAGTGAAGTTAGTCACGCATAAAAGGACAAAAGTATATGCATCCATGATGGTAGAAACAAGCAGCAGAACGGGCACAAGTGCAACCTTGTAGGGCAGCCAGTTTTCTGGCTGGGGATCAGACAGCCTTGTAAAGAGCTGGACCAGTACCAATGAACCACACATCATCTAAGTAAGTAAAGGGTAGATCACTTGGCTGGAGGGCACCTCACGACAGCTGGGATCAAATAGCCAGGGGAGAGGGGGTTGCAGAGATGCTGTCTGCTGGGTGGTAGCCATGCAGACCTGGGGTGAGGTCCCCTGGAGAGGAAGGTCACCCTGTCAGAGGGATGAGACTTACTGATGGGAGGGGCAGCACAGGAGAGGGGAGAGGGAACAGTCAAATTTGGGCAAACATAGGTGCATATCTGTTGGCAGAGGGGAGGAAGGGCTGACCTCAAGTTACGGGGAGGAGAGACTGAGGATGCTCTTGGAATAATTAGGTGGGGAGAATCTTCAGTGATGTGCAGCATGTGCATCATGAGAACAGAACTAGCACTGGGATACTGAATCCTGCCTTTCGGGATACACGCTATGCTCCAGGGGCTATATCAGTGAGACCTCATATGGGAACTCCAATGGGGAACTGGACTCTACCCAGACACACTTGTAGCCCGAGGACTTAAAGCCAGAAAAACACATGATGTCTGAAGTAGAAGAAAACAGCTTTACTAAGAGTTGTGTACTGTTTGTTGGTTGAACAAACAAGGTCTTGGTATAAAAACACCCGGTATGCTGTATTAAGGCACATATTATCACAGCAAACCTATGACAGTCATCCTGTTACAGTCTGCTTATGCTCACTTATATCAGAGTGTATCTCAAAGATGGGTTGCCATTGGGGTCACCCTGTTGAAACTGTTATTTTTTTATGATTTTCAGAAAATGAAACCCAGCGATGTTGAACCTACAGCGAAAGAAAATATAACAAGGGTTTGTGAGAAGGAGGGTTAGATGATGTAAAAAAGTCCAGGAAGGAAAAGTATGTGTTGGAAAACATGTAGGAGAATGCATGAAATTGTACAATTGAGTTTGACATGATTGAACTATGTTATGATGTGACATATGTGTTGGCTCCAAAATTAGAGCGAATTGTTTAAAATAAAAAACAAACAAATAAAAGCATAGACTCAGGAATGGGTCTTGCACTAAATTCTAGTCCCAATTTAAGAATAATCAGTTCTTACATCATGGCCCTGCTTGATACCCTCATGAAATCATCACTGAAGATAAAGGAGCTACAGCAAAGTGTGGTTAAGAAAGCAGATGATGCCTGGTTATCAATTGGAATGGTGTCTGGGGTCTTAAAGGCTTGTACTCAAACAAACAGCCATCTAAGCAAGGAGTAAACTAAGTACACACAGAAGAAACACATCAGATAATGTGATCCAAAGATGACAATTACAAAATTCGAATATGGTGAGGAAAAAAGCATCAGAGCAAAAATTATGAACACTCAATTTATGGAGGGCTATGGGGGATTGTGAGAGCCCCAAACCCATCTGCAGAGCCACTTGCAGATCCACTCTAACCATAGGCGAGAGTCTCCATCAGCCTTTCTACCAGGCAGAGACCATTATAATCCTGACCAACATAGAGATGCAACTTGAATTTGTTCTGGGTGCAAGTATTTCTTATTGGTTCCATGATGGAAATTTCTTCCCTGGCTTTTTGGTTATTGTTAGTTGCCTTTTCCTTCTTACAGCTTATTGGTATTTTTGTCTGTATGTTATTATGCTTTTATAATTACCACCTTAGCATGATTTGTTTTTTTTATTGTTTTCTGTTGGGTCTCCCAGCTGTGAAGCACAGGAGGATTGGATGCATAATGATAATAATGGATACAAGGGGATATAGAGAACATGGGGTTGGGGTGGGGAGGGAGATAGGAAGGGAAGGGATGTCTGGAGTAACTAATGAAGATGAGAGGAGGGAGTGAGCACTAGAACAGATTGTGAATGCATCACTATGGGGCGGGGGTGGGGGGGCTCTAAAATTTATGTGGGGCTGATTGTAAAATTCTCTATAATAAGATTGAATGACTGAACTATTGAATTATATGATATGTAAGCCACTTGCAAAAAATAAACTGTTGGGGAAAATAAAATTCAAAGGAATAAAATTCATATCCTCCAGTATGAATTGAATCTCACTTTGAAAAAAACACAAAAATCCTCATAACTGGATCAATAAACAACACCCAGATAAATGGAGAAAAATTGAAGTTGCCAAGGACTTCATTTTAGATGGACCCACAATCAGCCCTCAATTGCAGCCTGCCCTCATATCAATGCTGACTCATAGCGACCAATTTCAGCAGCAGTCAAACATGTCAAATGATGTATTTCATTGGGCAAATCTGCTTCAAAAGACCTCTATAAAGTGTTAAAGAGCAAAGATTTTCAATGACCTCATATATATTGAAACTTGGCAGTAGGTTTTATTTTTTGGATTTATTCTGAAAGGTTCATTGAAACCTGTCCATAGGGTGACCCTGTTAGTATTTGAAATCTTAGTGGCATAGTTTACAGCCACCGCAGTAAGACTAACAAATACAGGTGATGGCTTTACCACCATACAACAAAGTTTATTTTTCTCTTTTATGCCCTTCCAATAAAGTATGTTGCAGTAACTTAAATACCCCCGGATGATCAACACTTCTGACCCTCTTTGAAGATTGCTAGACCTGGAGAGTAAGAGGAACATTACTCTGAGCCCTTTCTGTTGGAGAAAGAACCCAGGCCATGGAGATGTTCCTCATTTCACCAAATGGTTAGATTTTCACCTCCATTTGGAGGGCCTAATTTTTTCATTATAGGAGGAAACTAGAGCGCATTAGGTAAACTAGTCTGAAAGACACATTTGGTTCTGGCCTTGGATGTCTCAATATACTGTACTTAAATACCTTGTTATTTAAGCATAACAATAATGAATCATCTGCTTCCTTAGCACGGTGATCAAGCATGCCATGGAATATGCCAGCTACAAGGGTCCCCAGCCCACCGTACTTTCTTGCGCTCCGGCTTAGTTTATACATTATTAAGCTCAGATCTGCTCCACCTCCACTGGCTGCAGTGTGAGAGAGCAAGGGTTGTGTTTGCCAGAAGGTCAGCAGGGCCAGGGAGGCTCAGCCCATCCTAGCCCGCACCTTTCAGATGCCGCGTTCTCATGTGACCACGTGACTTCCCCTCCCCGCCCCCCGCACGGCCGCCCGCCCCAGTCGCAAGCACGAGCCGGACGTCTGGATTCCCTCGCGCGCTCTGCCGGTCCCAGTCCCTGCGGGGAGCAGCGGAGGAGCTCCCGAGTGAGCGAGGCCGCCGAGGGGACCCGGCACGAGCCAAGCGAGCGACGGCCTGCCGCAGCCGCGGGCGCTGGGGCAAGGCGGCGAGGGTGGTGGTCGCCTGCGGGAAGCACAGGGTGGCCTGGATTTCGCATCTGCCGAGTGTGATGAGGCTTCCTTGCAGCGCTCCTCCGCTAGCTGCCAGCTGACCCCACTGCACCTAGCCGGCCTGTACGTGACCTTGGCAGAGCAGGTAAACAGAGGAGACCCAGGGGAAACGCGAGTCTTAGGCCCCAGCCGCTCTGCACCGCGGGAGCGCGGCGGACCCTGGGCGGCCGCCTCCTGAGCTCAGCGCCCTGTTGTGCTGCAGACACCATTCGCTGGATGCTTATCCGGGTGACATCGCTGGGGACTCCAGCGGCGGTGCGGGCACGGCTCGCCTGCCATTTGCTGCCTGGTGGTGAAAGCCGAGTGCGCGGACCCTGGGCTTCGCTGGTGCTGCTTGCTGGGAGGCTTTTGCACATAGCATGCCAATGATGGTGACCTAAGGAATTATCCAAAGGGTTTCCCCCACCAGTTATTGATGCTGGAACACATTTTTCGGTGCCTTCTTGCAAAGCTTAGGTCAGAATGCATCTTCACTCACACGGAGGAGTGGGTGAGAGGCGCAGGGCCAGAGGCTAGCAGTAAGAGCAGGTGGAAGTAGGAGCTATGTACCCGGGGTGGGGGG